ATATCTTTAATCATTTCTAAGATACAACGTTTCATAACTGAATCGATTTTACAATTTTGCTGATATATGATTTGTACAATTTTGCTTTTACACCCGGTATAAACAAACATTTAAATCTTTATTTAATTCTATTTGATTTTATTTGCGTGTACCAATAATTTGAAATTAGTTTCGAATAACATGGCACATACGGAAACGACACTTGTTACCGATATTAAAAAGCAATTATTTTACCCCTGCAATCAAAATATCGATATCAAACCTTGTTCTAGGGAGGACTCAAAATCAGGCTTTCTCATACAAAACCTATGTGTGGCTTGAATAAAAAGAGTCAATCTGAATTCCTTAAAAATGAGAATGAATAAATATTAAACACTTTGAATAGCCAGGTTAACGGATCAGTGTTTAAAAAATAGTAAAGGGGATAATGAAATTGAACATAGAATAGGTTTCGCTAAAAAGAGTTTGTCCAATATCTTTAATCGTGACAAAACCTAGAAACTGGTACCAAGTTACTAATGTGCGTTGTAAAATCTAGACTCTGATAGGGATAGCATTCTTGGTTCCAAACCCGTTCAGAAATGTCTAAACTCTCAACTATATAAGATCGTTTCTAATCAATGTTTTAAAATGTCTACGAGCGAATGAATGGAAAACCCGTCAATACGAGAAAGAGTGATATCAGTCAGTCGGCTTAAGAAACGCATCATTTTTTTTTTATAATTTCACCTCCGGCAAGGCGGAAATGCCACTAGATTGCCAGGCATCTCAGGGCGTCGCAGTGCGTCAAAGTGAAAAAGAACACTGAGTATAGGGATGGTTGTGAAAACGATAAAAGAATATTTTTGCACATGACCGTTGGAAGACTGTTTGGACCTTGGCATATCATTCCATCGATTGACGTGCTGATCCTGGCTCTTGATGTTTCAATTCGCTCTTTCGTCTTTGCAGACATTCATTGGCCTCTCCGCATCACCTTTGACTTCATTTTAATGTCTTCATGCAAAATGATTCTGGTAGTATTGTAGCGGACCGCGTTTTTGCACGCCTTGTGTGATGAACACGTGGGCCAACTACAAATATGGCGGGCCCAAGATGAGTCCACCCAAAAGAAATGTAAAAGAAAACAACAAGAACCGATATATATATATATATATATATATATATATATATATATATATATATATATATATATACACACAATTATGTGTATTAACAATCAAGCGGATACAAATTACAAAACAAGTATGTATATGTGTAACAAATAATTATGTAAAGTTTGTGTTCCAAGAAACGCGTGAGTTAATGTTCGTATGTGCGCGCATGCGTCTATGTGTGTGTGTATTTCATGGCGTTTCCCCGCCAAAGGGAAAAACGCAAATCTCCACCAGAGATTACATTTTTGAAGTATCCGCTGAAATATGAGAAGTGAAAAAGAGGGCGAGAGAAGAAATCGCAAATATTTATAGTGTTGGGAGAGCGTCCCCTAGAGACAATTTTCGACAATTAGGAAATTAAGGAGAAGTTAACTCCGACAGTATTATTGCCCTTAGAATTTCAGGCAATGGCGTCCAGTTCGTTGTGAATTTTAACAGCAAACAACTGTGCAACATTTAGGAAGCGAACAATATGTAAATCCCTAAGAGATGTCATTACAGGTAAGGATTACAGTGTGCCTCTTCATTTGCTGACTTTTCCTGATGTTTGCCATGAGAACAAATCATAATCAGAACATGTTAGAAAAGAGACAGAGTTATTAAAAGATGTGCCTTCAACGAACTTATTAAACCCTGTATATAATTGTCTCTATATAAATATAACTCAGAAGCAAAAGAAATCCAGACCGTTGATATTTCAGCAAGAGCATGGCTCGGATCAGACAGTTACCGATAATTTTCTACACCTAATTACATTATTCCGACTAACATCCTCATCTTTTTTGCGATATTTAACCCAGCGTTTCCTACGTTGTACCCTCTGGCCTTCTTCAGGTGGTTGCAATGTCGAACTGAACCCTATTTCGCTCGCCTCTCAGATATATCCTGTTAATTCTCCTCTCCAAGTTCTCCACCGCCTTAACCAGGTACTGACACAGGTATAACTGATAACTGACATCTGTTAGACATGACACGTGTAACTAGAACAGTCTACCCCAGCGAGTGAAATAAAGGGTTCATTTCGACATTCCAACCACCTGAAGAAGGCCGGAGCGTACAACGGCCGAAACGTTGAGATAAATATGGCAACAAAGATGAGGATGATAGTTCAAACGATGTAAATTGTGTACACAATACCTCATCTCAGTAATATAGTGTTATGGGGATCACCCCTTTTTCATACAAGTGGACTCGCCCAGTGTGTACTTGTACTGCTGCCGTTGAATACCCGGAAGTGATACAGTGAGACTGTGAGGTAACCGCTTTGTAGGAGTCACAGTTGCGAGCACGTAGACTCAGAAGGAAGTCATACTTCGATACTGAATTTCCCAGACTGTATATATATTATTATTACTACTAATCGTATTTCTGGATCTACTAACCGTATTACCAATTGTATTATTACGTTAATACAATTATTTACTATATTTAATTCCTGCGTATTTCATTCATTTGAGACCGGATTTCATCCCGGAATCCACAACATATAAACAGATACTTTTCTGCGCCTTTTGACAAATCTGTGTGTTCTGATAGTATTAGTGCCGTTAGCCGGCGTTCGCCTACTATCGTAGAATCCCCGACAGCTGCTTCTATCTTTTTTATGAACAGTGACAACGAATGACCGCGCATCTTTCTGGGAACAAGCACTCTCTAAATCACTATGTAATCCTTGTAATAGACTTTAAGGAAACGATCACAGCTGTAATAATCTTTATTCCATGAAATTTATGAAATTAGCCTTTAATCTTTTTTGAAAGATAGAATACTTTTATAGCTTTCATGAAATAATGATTCATAGCTCTGATATTTTAAGTGTTCGATATTCATTAATAATTTTGCTGTGTCTCGGATATAGATCTCTCCCTGTAACTTTATTCTCTTAGAAATTTCATGCGGTTTGCAATTTTAATGTGTGTGTGTGTGTGTGTGTAACGAATGCACGGCCGCAATTTTCGAAGGAATTGCACCGAAATTTACATGCACATGCTCCAATTTAGCGGAAAGGCCAAGACTGACCTTGCATTTCCCAACTCTCATCGATAGTAGAAATAACGATTTTTTCATGCTTCTACGGCAGTTTTCATGTAGTCTGCGGCATTTTTCTACTGGCCAGAGTGAGAGCCTATAGCTGGCTGTCACGAATAAACAGGAAAATTCTAATGGCCAGCGTGAGAGCCAACAGCTGACTGACACGAATGTTAACTAGCATAAAAAAATCGATAGCTGCATTCGTCACAAGTGGGAAAAATTTAAATTTGCATGGCACTTTACTCCAATTGGCTCAACGTTGATTCTGATTCCGCAGAACTGGGTTGGGTGTGAAAAAGTATTTGTTGTTAACATTCTTTTTTCATTCGGTTTTTCCAGTTACGAGTCCTTCTTTTTTAAAGCTGATCGTTTTGTGTTCATTTTGTTTAGTTCTTTTTTCGTAACAGATTTAATGTTTAGTATAGAGCTTAGAAAAAATTCGCAGTGTGAGATAGGCAAGAAGTAAGGCATGTAGCAACATCAGCACGGCAAAGGGCACTCCTTTAAAGGCAAGGAAGGGGAAAAATATTTTAAGTCAAGTGATAGCGATTGCTGTATGAGTCGTACGATTTTTGAATCAAGCACGAGCAACGCTGGGCCATGCTGCTAGTATATATATAAGTGTGTGTGTGTGGGTGTGTGAGCTAGTATGTGTCTCTGTGTGCGTGCATGTGTGGTTGTATGTGTGTGGAGTGCCACAAGTATAGGCATTGGCGATCGAATTCACTATTACTTCTGTAGGAATCAAATCTAGGTGAATCCCATTTTCTCATGTTACACCCAACAAATAGTATAATCGATAAAGCGAAAAATAAAGTTGAAAATATTCCAATCATTGTGCCATTTTATTTTCTGGACATTGATCTTCAAAGTAATATTTTCTTCATATATATATATATATATATATATATATATATATATATATATATATATATATATATATATTAGCGGGGTATCATACCAAAAGAACGAAAGTAAATATTCTCCACGTACAGAAACCTGCGTGCATGACATGAAGTTATAGCAAAGAACAACATAGACTTAATAACAGGAGCATCACAAAGATTCACGCGCAAGAATTACTAAAATTATCCACAGAGGCGTTCGATTGTGTATTGTGGAATAGGCACATGTTCGAATCAGCCATACCGCTCAAGGCAAAACTGCAGAGGCGCTAATGGTCACAATAGCAGATGAAGAGAGTCACCCATTCACGCATGTGAATAGGCGCCTGAATTGATGAAGTGAAAACAGAACGAATATCGATTGAGCAAGTGATACCGCACAAAAGATAACAAAAGAGATTGCCTGCAAATGTAGAGAATCTAAAATGCAAATTGAAAAGAAAAAAGAAACGAAACATAAAGAAAGAACGTCCCATCAATTCCAAAAATGAAATCAATACTACGCATAAAAAAGAAGACCGAATATTCAAAAGTCTAGATTCCTAAAAAAAAGAAACAAGAAAAAAAAATTAGGTACAGTAAAAACTAGCGAGAAATCGCCCTGAAAAGAAGAAAAAAAGAAAAAACCTTTCGAAAGAAATACCTAATCATGTAGAAATGTTGTCTAAAATAAAAATAACCGAAATCTGCTGAGAAACTAAAATTAGATTCGTCAAACACAGGGCCATATGCGGATACTAAAGGCATAAATAATTTGATAGTGCACTCTTTTAAGTAAGGAAGGTCTTTCTTTAAAGATCATAATTTTAAACAGAGCAGATTCCCTCAAACCATATGCTAACTTTTATCCAAGAACCTGGTTGCAGATACAATGCTTTGAAGAATGGAGTCTATTGTAATTGACCTCATGTGCTTTTTCTTCTTCTTCTTCTTCTTCTTCTTCTTCTTCTTCTTCTTCTTCTTGTGTCGTGTTCTTTCAGGGGGGTGCGATTTCTAATTTTCAATCCTTTCTACCACTGAGCAATGTTTACCTTCTTCTTCTTCTTCTTCTTCTTCTTCCTTCTCCTTCTCCTCCTCCTCCTTCTTCTTCTTCTTGGGTCGTTTTCCTTCAAGGAGTGTACGATCAATGTAATCTACAATTTCCCAACCTTTCTTACACTTAGAAATGCTTTCTTTCTTCTTCTTCTTCTTCTTCTTCTTCTTCTTCTTCTTCTTCTTCAATTTCTGATTATTCTTCTTCCTTCTCCTCCTTCTTCTTCTTCTTCCTCCTCCTCCTCATTCTGCTCCTTCTTCTTCTTCTCCTTCTTCTTCTTCTTCTTCTTCTTCTTCTTCTTGTGTCGATTTCCCTCAGGGTGTGTACGATCAATGTAATCTAAAATTTCCCAACCTTTCTAACACTTAGAAATGCTTACTTTCTTCTTCTTCTTCTTCTTCTTCTTCTTCTTCTTCTTCTTCTTCTTTCTGCTTCTTCTTCTCCCGCCGTGTTCCTTCAGGGTTGGGGTGATCTTTGCGACCTACAACTTCCCACCCCATCTAACACTTAGCAATGTTTTCTGCGTCCTAATAATGTTAATTGTAACTTTCTGTTTCCAATTATAGGTTCCATTTTTATTACCATTTTCCTTAAGACATATTCGTTGCCGACATGCTTCGTATATGGTATTCTCAGCATCTTTCTGTCGACCCATGACTCAGCTACCCAATCTCTCGTCTCCATCTCCGAGAAGACTGGCCTGCATTTGACATCCGAGGATTGACATCACTACAACACGCTTCTCTTTGCTTCGAACCAAATGCTTCTTTTTTTTTTAATACTTTGCTTGGCATTTGGACAGCAACTTTTGTTATTAAAATACCTTTTCGAATTCCGATATCTCATTTCCTCTCTTCTGTAAAATATTTCCTTGGCATTTTAACTTGTGTACTTGTTTGATTTTGACATCTCTAATTTGTGGCTAACCTCTTGAGCTGTTGTACTTGTTGAAAAACAATAAATTGTAGACATTGGTAATCCTGACTATGCGCAATGCTTGGTCCTTTCTAGCTGTTATCTCTACTAAACCTTGTTCTGTCATCATTTAATCAGGCTTACTATGAAGGTTATACTCTGCTTTCTTCAGCCCCTCCATACGTCTGTCCTCTGCCCTGTGAGTATCAGATTTTCCAAACTTTCTTTCCTCATTATATGCCCTAGAAATTTCAACTCTCTCTTCCTGATGTTAAACATAAGTGCCATATTTGTTTCCACTTTGTATAAAACTTCATCATTGCTCATATGACCGGTGCATAGTATTCTCAGCATGCTTCTGTAGAACCATATTATTGTTGCTTCAACTCTCTTCTTCATCCGTGAGGAGATTGTCCTGCATTCACCGCTATATCTGAACACTGGTATTACGCCCCAGTTCAGTACTCTTTTCTTTGTTTCTAACGAAATATTTCTAAGTGCGTCACATTTACGAGTTTAAATGCAGCCCGAGATTGGAATATATGTTGCATCATTTAATTGCTTTAAGTGTTAAATGTAACCGTAAGTTCTATGCTAATAACTTCTTCTCCCGACTCTTCTCACTTTTGGAACACACTTCTGGATCATTCTTTCCTACCCACTACGATATTCAAACAATTAAATGCAACTTCATCATCACTGTGTGTCTCCTTGAAACTTTTATTGTCCTCTCTATTGTCGGATATGTCGGGAAAATAACGGATAACACCAGACTTAAACAGGTTTAATTGTAGTGATCAGGGCATCAGTGCGAGTTTGTTGCACAAACCAGTGGCTCGTGAGAACAAGCTGCTAGATTGGATCCTACATCTGACCAAATAGGAAAAGAATGAAGGTGGTTAGCTACAATGGGCGTGGCATGGCAAACCTTTTGCATCGTGTGTACATATAACCTAGTTCGGGTATTTAGTTCGGGTCTACCTTTAAGACAATAATGGAATATAATTTCTGGGACCAGTTGTACTAGCAGACCGCACCGGCTCGCATCCGAGTATGAGAACCACCTGCCCTTATGCCCATCCTCCTGTGTGATGACTGTGGTGAAAATGGACGTGAAGGCCCAGCCTACTACTGAAGAGTAGTCGAAAAGAGTTTGACGTGGCCATTCTCCAACCCTGCGCGACGCAGAGACCCTCACACTTGGATAGAGAACGACTCTCTCGCGATTCAAAGCCATTGAGACAGTTGAAGTCTGGCCAAATTGGTTGCATCGTGCTGTCGGGTGCTTATCCTGTCAAGGTCTACCTTGGTTAGGCCAGACCGACTGCTGCCCTCTTCCACCGGTTTAACCATTTAGTTTTTTTCGAGGGTAGGCCGCATTTAGCCTGATCTCTCCTTCTCGACCTTAGTGGCATGATTGGCCCTACAGGAGATGAAACTCTAGAGGACTTCGCCTTTAGGATCGCTTGGACACGAAAATATCTACCATGACAAGGAACGGCCATATATAATTCATCGGTGTGAACAGTTCGTTATAAAATGTTTCATTTTGACAATAATAGAAACGAATCTATAAATAAGAGAATGGTAAAAGTATAAAATTATCATTAAATAAATGAGAACATTTTTATTAATGTTGTTACTAAAAATTGCTGGTTAATTTGCACGCGCAGAATATTGTGGGTATCATTGCGCAAACTGAGAGTGTGTACGTAAATAGTTCTCGTGTGCAGTAACTGAGACAAATTTATACAAGAAAGATCAGTTCCTAGCTTAGCTTTCTGTAGTCTTCCGCGTTTAGCTTTCCGAAGCGAATGTATGCAAGCAACGCGAGTAATGGCTGCCGCCAACGACGCGATTGAATCCCAAATTTCACTGTCGATTACTCCAACACGGTGGATTTTATCAAATTTATTAAGGCAGATTCGAATGGAGCATATACAATTACACATAAATATAAGTATTTTGGAAATTTTTAATGCGAAATAAATGCGGGGGTTACACTGCAAATTAACCAAATTGCTCAGATTAATATTTACATTATTAACAGTCAGAGTAATGTTATAATTGATGATTTTTTGAGTTCTTAAAACCCTTGACGATTAAACTGCTGCTTCGTGATTTTGGTTAAATTTTAATTGTGAATGCAAGTTTTTTTTTTAATTCCTACCATTATTTAATTTTTTGTAAGATTTCTTGGCGGCAGATGGTTCCGAACTTCAGTATTTATAAAGGAAAACAAGTATAATTTATTAAGAACTTTTTACGGCCACATCACGTTGATTCAACGTTTTCCGTACGATAAGCAACTTACCTTTTTAAGAACCGAGATGGGTGACAGCTTGAAAAATTATAATTCTTTGTACAAACGTTACTAATCTTGAAAAAAGGCCTGTACTGGTAATCAATGCTTTGAAAGAAGCGAAACACCACCATCGTGAGGGTTTGAAACTGAAACGTGCGTAATATGAGGGTGACCTTGCTCAAGTTGGAATTTTCCGTTAGCAGATTAGTTCCTATGAGGAATTAACCAAACATCTTAGTATAGATCTAATGGAACTCTCCTGCCATTCTCTTCATTCCCCGAGGGCGAGAAGTTAGTAGATTGCATACATAACTATCCTCATGTGATATCAAGGGAACACAAACTATTCAGGTGCGAAATTTGCCTTACTTGATTAGTTACTAAGAGCAATCAATCAAACAACTTAGTATAAATCTTATGGAACTCTACTGCCATTCTGTCCATTCCCCTAGAGCGAGAAGTTAGTACATTGCATACGTAACTATCCTCATGTGATATCAAGGGAACACAAACTATTCAGGTGCGAAATTTGCCTTACTTGATTAGTTACTAAGAGCAATCAATCAAACAACTTAGTATAAATCTTATGGAACTCTACTGCCATTCTATCCATTCCCCTAGAGCGAGAAGTTAGTACTTTGCATACGTAAATATCCTCATGTGATATCAAGGGAGCTTGCAGAACTACCAAGATGGGTGACGGTTGGGAATATCAAGCTTGGATGACCGGCGGTGTAATGGATAATGGCTTGGAATTGTTAATCGGCAACCCGTGTTCCAATTCCAGTCAGGTTCGTTATATTTACTTACACGCAAATATCCTTGGAAAAGCCATGAACCCGCCTCTTCTCCTCCCATCAATAGATTAAGACTTATATGTCTAAATCCCTATTATCTCTTCCGTACACGCAAAATATTGTTTTAAAAATATTTTCTAGTATGAAATAGCTTGTAAAGTGTTGATAAGCCGTAAAAAATTAATCAATAAATTAATTGAGAAAATAGTATATATTCAAAATAAATATCGACATATGTTCAGATAGTTATATGCTATGCGTGATACGCGGTTAGTCGATCATGTATCTTTCGATGCATGACTGATGAGGCAGATTTTTTCCCGCAATAGGTTGCTATTTCTTTCTGCGGTATATATTTGCCATCCAAGGATATATACACCGGTCTGTCCTGCTAATAACCCATAGCTGGAGGGAGAAGAAGAGTATTCATACCTTTCCCAAGAGTATTAGCACGTAAGTGAATGTAATGTATTCGACTGGAATTCGAACTCGGCTCTCAGAGTCCTCAACTAAACAAAAAGAAAATGGATATAGATTTAAACCACTCACGTACATTGGCACCAGATAGCTGTAGTTCATTTCCACGATAACGCCAACGAGTCTGTTCAGTAATGAGTGCTTTGTATTGTGTCATTCATGTTAAGATGCTGGTTTATTTCTCTTATTCTATCTCCCTCTATCTCTCGACGAGAGCTCTAGCGAGTACTTCTGTGGATTTAAATTAGAAAAAAAGAGAAGGACATATATTGTAGGGAGGCTCATACAATCGTTTCAGTCAAACGTGTTTATTTACGGAAAACAAGTGAAATATATGTATTTACCAAAAATGCTTCACGCACTTCACTTAGAAGAGAATTTACAAAATCTACACACACACGTGCGGTAAAAAAGAATTCTCTTAATCCTATATTTGTACAAAAACGCACAACCTTAAAAATTAAAATTCAAACTCAGCGTTGCGACCGCACGTTCCAAAACAATAATATATTTCTCATAGCATTTTTTTCGGATTACATTTCTATTTTTGTTGTCCTCTTATTACCGAGAAGTAAAAACAAGAACAAAACTATTTTCATACCTGAGGATGTCTGTAGGAACGGACGAAAGCTTGTAAAAATTAAAAAGAGCTTATGCAACTGGTATTTATAAACAGGGATCATATCATTCATATACAGGTTCAGGGTTGGTGTATCTTTTTGATATTATTTGCGAATATGTATTCTCGCCATTTAAATCATTAACCTCTCTATTTGTTTTATTGTAATTAATGATTCATGAATTTATATATATCTATATATATATATATATATATATATATATATATATATATATATATATATATATATATATATATATATATATATATATATATATATATATTTTTCTCGCCAGAATCTTTTTTTAGCCAGAATCTATTTTACATATTTATAAGTCTTCTATCTGT